TTTATTGTGAGAACTTCCGTTATCGGCCCTTAGATATTATCTATTCAAAAATTCGTATGATTCATTATATTTTACTTATCTAGCCAATTTATTTGTGCATTTTTTTATTTTATTTTGTAGCCTCATATCCACCATTTACCGACCTTAATTTAATTTTTTTATTTGTTCCCCTTGTTACGTCTCTTTCTTTACTTCCTCTTCTGCAGCTCTTTTACACTTGCAACAGACCATTTTCTACTCGCCTCAGTTCATCTCTGTCAGAATATGAAACAAACCCGAAAGGCAGCTTACTATAATCCAGAAATTGTCTCTTCTCCAACTTATTCTGCTTTTGAACCTTACAAGTTTTGTCCACTTCTGCTACTGCCGGCTCTTATGTGTCGTTCCGATGGCTGGAATAGTGAGACGTGGCATAACTTCTTTCTTAACCTTAATCGTTTATCAATCCACAACCAAAGTTTCTTTGAAGATGACTTATCTTCGGAACTTAAACAAACATTCATGGTTGCTTCCACCGCCGCCGGCGATGTGTGGACTTTTCTTGCAGGCGGTCTTAGTGCGTCTGCTTCTATTGAAGCCTCTTCTGTTTCACTAACGAACTCTGTAGATCTGCCCCGCGACCAGTGGGACCGGGACAAGAGTCTTAGGTCTGAAGATAAACTTTTTCAAAGGAACCGTGCTTTGGCTAGTCGCTGGCTAGTCTTTTCTCCCGAAGAAGTGCAAGTTCGTCTATTGATTCTGGTAAATTTCCTTTTAGATTTTGACATGCATTTACATTGAGCTCATAATAAAGTTTCGCTATATGCTGTGTTTCATGCACTTTTCTGTAAGAAGTTTTATTTCCGTTCTGCTAGAGTTATTTAATCTACCAAACTAATGAATTACAAGGGCTGCTTAAGATAAGGCAAAAAATCTTCAAGATTTTACAAAACAAAGGTTAATCAACAGTAGTTTTATCCATCTGGTCATGTAATTATTACTCTAAATCAGTCACGACTATTTTTAACCACTTTTGATTAACATAGGCTATAAGAACGTTTGAAATGATTCATAAATTTCTCAGCTTTCCCAAAAATGCTAGGGATGCTTTAGGCATTCTCGTGCTTATCTGGCTTTCTAAAGACCGAAGTCTGGTAATATAGTAAAAAGGATCCTTCCCAAATTCGACTAAATGAAGAAGTTATTGTCCATTTCTCAGTGTACTTCTTACTATTAGTTCAATCATGATCCATCGATAGAACCTTGCTGTAATAACGTCCGATTCTATCTTGAACAGGTGTACCACTTTCTGGGATACTCTTCTTTTTCCTTTCCCATAGATTATCTCTTTAAATCTTTCAATAGTCTGATTTTAATATTTGCATTCCTAAGTCTATTATCCTAATTCTTGTTCATATGAAACACTATATCATATAACATATTTGTCATTGATCGTAGTGTCAGGAACTTCTTGAAATTTACAGTATCGGACAGTAAGTGCCTAAGTTTAGTTTTTGTTCTAATCAAACAATTTAATCTCTTAATTTTTTCTAAAGCCCCATTAATTTAGGGATAATTTTACAAGATCCTTTTTAGTTCTTATGCGGGAAATTAGGTATATTAATAATAAATAATTTGGAAATAATATTCCCCGATTAACAATTTCAAAAATCGAATTTGGCTAACTTGCCTGGCTACCGATTAGGATAAGACCTGACTAATTTTGAGTCTGACTTAAGATCTAACATACCAACTTACTCATGATTATTGTTTACACGCGGCTTGCATGCACCTACAAGCCTAAACAGGCGTCAGCATTGCAAGATCATATGACAGTTTATTTAGAAGGACAACTGTTGTGTGCCTACATTTTATGCATCAGCTTCGTTATTTGCAAGTATATATAGTAAGCATGATGTAGCCAACCAACTCACGAGATTTTTAACCGATATCGCAAGGTTAGGGGTAAGAACTAAGTTGCGATACTATATGTACACCTTTCTTTGTTCAGTGTTTTGGTGGTTTCTGGTTCTGGCGATGTTTGTCAGATGACAGACGAAATCTAAACAGGACTATTAACGGAGGACTTCACAATTCTGTTTCTGGTTGGGCCAGGCTAAGAATCCTGCCAACCTGCGCTTTATATGTAAACAGGCCATGCATGTTTGTGCTTATATTTACAAATCTGTATTTCTTCGTGCATTATTTTGTCCATCGACTTTTTTCGTATATAATTTACCAAAAAATATCTATACAAATTCTGATCCATTTCTTCCAACTATATA